AAGTAACTGAGCGCCTAGCATCGTAAAGACTGGCAATAAAAAATTCATGTAGAATCGCATGGCCCATAGGCCAGGTCGTTTGGACCAGAAAAAAATGCAAATTACCAATGAAAGGATTTTTGCTGTAAACCCTCGCATCAAAATATATGACCAACTATGTCGTTCGTTTTTGTTAATTGCTTTGACTTCGCTCACCTGGTGGACTATGCCCTGATACCTGTGCAGAGGAGGAATTCGCTTAGCACTGGAACACAATACATAGGTTTACTTTACTTAGAATGACGGCTACAATATATTTCTGACGCCCGGTTTCTGAAACACATCACATGACCATCGTACATATTAATTAATCAGCTGTCAAAGGGCTTTTCAAATTTCATTTTAGTTGCCAAAAAGATGGATAAACACTTTAGCAGCCCTTTGACACGGGAAAATTAAACCCAAAAAAGCTCATAGCTTTTAATTATTATTGAGAACCGTCCTGCGTTACATCAGTAGATACGATTAGCTTAGCATAGAGACCAGTATTACGAAGCGAGTTATTTAAACCAGTGTCCATTTATAGATCGTTTGTAGTAATAATATACGTTGGTCCCCTGAGCTCGCTGGGTGTCCTTCTACGGTAATGCTGGCTTGGAAATGCGTCCACGACTCGCATATGTTTAGCGACGTCTGTGTCTATTAGAGGTTTTTTTTTTTTAATTCTTGCACTTGAAAAGTTATCATTCCTATGAGGATTGCATCATTCCAATTTTCGAGATATATTTTATTTTATTCGCGAATACAATAAAGTAGTTTAATAATAAATAATATATAAATAAATAAATATTTTAGGACACCTTTTTTTTACACAACGTTCTCTAGTCCCAAACTAAGCAATGCTTGTACTATGGGTACTATAAAACTGATAGACATACTGAAACATACTTTTCTTTGTAAATAAATACACATTATACATAAACAAATACCCAGACACTAGAAAAACACTATGCTCATCACACAATATTTTTCCAGTAGTAGGGATCGAACCCACACCCTCTGGCGCAGAAGGCAGGTACACTACCGACTACGCCATTCGGGTAGTCAAGATTACGTTGTCATTGCATTTCCTAAGCGATACGATTTGTTCACATAAAAGAATAGAGCGTCTTTTTTCGTGGAATAATCCTTTACGATTCTTCTGCCATCGTATCAGGGGAGCGCTAGGGGCATCAGGGAGTCCCGGTCAGAATGGGAATCCACTAAAATACCCACTCTCTAACACCTGTCTCAGTTGTATCGGCCGGAGGGATCACGGGATCGTGAAGACGCAATCTTCCACGACCCCGGAAAAGAAGAGAACCAAGTCCTATCTTGAAAGCCGGGAACGCTTTTACACCTTTAGTATCCAGTCAATGGACTACGGTTATGCTATCAACAGGTCCTTGCTTAAAGTCCTTCTTCTTCTCTTCCACAAAAAACGCTTTTACCAGTACTAGGATAGGAATTGGAACATGCTTTAAACCCAATACAACGTTTCCAACAACGTATCGTTATTATGTTTTGTTTTCGAAAACTCTTTTTGCATCGGCTAAAGTTACATCACTGGCCAATTGCTTTAACTTTCATGGCGTCGAGCACTTTCTAATCGGTTCCGACTTCATTAGATCATTAGCTTTTTAATATCTCTACGATTACGATTTTTTGCCGTATCGCATCCGACAAATAAGTGTCTTACATAACATTATAACTTATCAGCTAAATACGTTTTGAGGTGAAATTTTCTTTGTTTCAAATTCGTCATTAACGTTTATTATTTTAATTTTATCTTATTGGTTATAGAAGGTAAAATTTTACTATGCGCTAATTATTTTTGAAATAAATATAAAAATTGCTACATTCTATTTAATTTCTGTATTAGTTTTTAACTATATTTTTCTATACATGGCCTCAAATCAACCAAGGTTGCACATATCATGTGAAAATCATTAGAAGCCGCGAAGTGTAGGATAGTTTAAAACTTTAATCAATGTTGTGATAATTATGACGTCCATACTTTTAAGATATACATCTACAGGGACTGTTACATATATTGGTTAAATTATGTTATATTAATGTATCAGAATCCTTTGAACACATTAGCTTGAGAAATATAAGATTTTTTTTTTCATCATTTAACCCTTCTAGATCTGTGTTATTGTCCCGCCAAGTAGATATTTATACAATCTTCACATGTGAATTAATACATCTGTGCAGTGCAGCATTCGTAATTAAACTGATGACGCGATTTCCTGCATAATGGAGTTCATTGACCCCTCTGCTAATGTGCATGTTCAGTATAAGATCACTACTTGGCTTCTTAATAATTTAATGCCATATGCAGTTTCACGACTGTGTTTTATAATTTTATTTTGTATTATAGATAAAAAGTTATCGGATTCTTTTATAGTGTCGTTTATCTGTGAAATGTTCGCCTTGAGTCCATTTCTCGATAAGGAAATGCTTAAAGGAAAGCGATTTAGGAGATATTAGAAATTAAATATTTGTTCTTTTTTTCTTTCTACAGTAATTAAGATCTAAGTTTTTTCGTATGTAAAAAGGTGAAAAGCGATCTGGCGGTTCAATTGCAGTGTTAAGTGATAACCGCCGCCCATGGACATTTGCAACACCTTTAGAGTCGTCGATGCGTTGCAACCTTTTAATAAAGTGGTTCCCAGTTACCTCACTGACCAGAAGAAGAGCAAAAGTGTCTTTCACTTCACGCCGGTCTTCTGTGAGCTCGTGGTACCCCAGACGGACCTGAGACTGTTGCGTGGCCCACCCACAGTTTGTATCTTCCTTGCTGACTTATCACGTGCTCAGCGGTGAAGGGAAACATAGCGCGGAAACCTGCATATTTTCAAAATAACGTTAATAAAAAATATCGAAGATATGTGAAGTCTGCCAATCCGCAGTGAGGTGGAAGCGCGGTTATTTGATCCTTTCTTTTTAGGGTTCCGTACCCAAAGGGAAGGCAAAACTAAGACTTCGCTGTCTGTCTGTCTGCTCCTCTGTCACCAGGCTGTATCTCATAATATTATAATATGATATTTAGACCGTTGAAATCTTCACAGATGATGTATTTCTGTTGTCGCTATAACAACAAAAGGAATAAAAAATTTAATGGGCTTCCCATACAACAGAAATTATTTTTTGCGGTTTTTATAGATAATGGAACGGAAACCTTCGCGCGCGAGTCCGACTCGCACTTGGCCGGTTGTTTTTTTCTTCTCCAATCATACATAACTTGGGAAAAATCATTACTCCAATCATAGCGGCCTCAAAACGATTTACTGAGCGGCTTAGAATGTGTACATTTGATTATCGCATCGTCATAGCTAATATTGTAAATGCATAACAAATATTTTCCTCAGACGCGCGTCATAGGACAACTTGCACGACCCCGAAAGGCGTGTGATAAGTGTAATGGAATTAATTATAACGTGATTGATAAGGGGAAAGGTGTGTTCACGTTTATTATACGTACTTTTCGCCTTATCAATTGCTAACGGCCGCGTGGCCTTGGCTGGAATGTTTAGTGCAATACATGGGAGTATCTAATATCAAAATGATTACTTTATCCTTCACTAGCAACCTGCCCCGGCTTCGCAGTGGTGCAATGTATTATACATCTCACCAACCTTCACCCAAAACCTTCAAACCTTCCTCTTGAATAACTCTATCTAGTAAAAAAACGGCATCGATATCCGTTGCGTAGTTTTAGAGATCTAAGCATACATTGCGATCTTGTATCTTATATTAACTGATGTTTATGCTTTCAGTCCCGAGACTATTAAAGCTTCATCTGACGCAGAACCCGTAGGCTAGCCAGAACCCACGGGCTTGGGCCCTCCACTTTCGGTAGGGCCACGCATATGCTCATGCGTGCGTTTAACTATGGTGTGTCGTGGGTGGTCGAGGTCGCGGTTCGGACCGAAACCCCGATGGCCGTCGACTGTGCAATTAGCTAATCGGTGGCTGGGAGCGGTGAGAACCGCCCCGGAACGCGGGTTGTCCTTGTGTACGCGTTGTGTGGGTCTCGCCGTGCTCGGAGGCGAGGGCGAACTAGTGTGTTTGTTGTTACACTAACTGTGGGTGTAGTGTTAACCGGCGGGACCCCCGTCGGTGGGTCCGCATACATAGGGACAAACAGACAGCGGGACGAATTTGTTTTATACTATGTAGTGATGCACAGCAGAGAGACGTTTACATTTCAAGTGACATTTTACCACAGTCACTCACTTATTTTGCCTTCCCGGAACCCCTCCACTAACACTTAAACTTTATGGTATGGTATTAAAGTTTAAATTGACTTTTAAGTACTATTAAGAATCTGAACGTTATGTACCAGACCTCTGTCCTCGGATAATTTGATACTATTTGTTATGGGAAAAGGTGAATAGCGAGCTGGCGGTTCGTCTCATCTCTAGTGATAACATTTGCAACACCCGTAGTGTTGCAGATGCGTTGCCACCTTATAACAAAGTGAGCGCGGGCTGCCAAACTCACCTTAAAAAGGCATGATGGAATTATAACATTTTCCCTTCACGCCGGTATTCTGTGAGGGCGTGTGGTACTTACCCGGTCGGAGCTGCCCATTCGTGCAACAGTGAAGACTGCGCGGCTCTACCACAGTATATTTTGTAACATCTATTGTTTTTAAAAAAAGGAAACGCTATATAAAATATATTTTGTGGTACTACTGCTAAAATTTATTAGTTCGAACGCTTTTACTGCTTGTCCCTAACGATCCTTGTCCTTGGAAATCGATTTTTGACGTAACTATTATGGAGCTAATGTCAAATTCCTATCGGTAGTAACCAAATCTATCTCTAGATAGAATATTGAAAGCGGCGGTTAGTGAACAATTCTTTTTCATTATATCGATTTACTACCGGCACAGTGGACCGAATCGACGCAGTGGCATGTCGATAGCTAGCCATCTCTGTCTATCGCGCAAAGCGATTTTTTATTAGTCGCTAAGTCCGCCCGGCTATCGCTTTGGATATTCTCGTGCTCTCGCCCGGCTGCTCTGCCACTAAGCATGGCGATGCGCCAAGTGCTGGGGGCCCGACGCGCCCCGCCTCGTATTGCCATGACGTACCCGTGACGTCACCGGTGCTATAACGTACCCGTGACGTCTCCAGGAGTCCCACTAGGCTGCCGTTTAGTCTAGTGCAAACCTGGCGTCCTGGTCAAGGAGAGAGTATGAAATGAGGTTAAATGCGCCGTTTTTAATACACCTTTTATATAATCGAGTTCAGTTCTGTATAGTCTAATATATTAAATAAAAACTAAAACTAACTAAATAAAAACTAATTCACTGTGCTGTATGTAAAATTTAAATCGGAGGGAAATCTAACGAATTAATTCAACCACCGCCTCCGTTTGACTCATGAGACTTGATAGACGTTAAGATGACATCTTTTTCATAGACGGGACTTGTGCGCAAAGTGAACCGAATAAAAATAGAAACGCAAATCAATCGCACACGAGACCAGTTAACGCTCACGTGTCGCTCCTAACAGGCAACCATTGAAATGTCAATGTGATAGATAATATGTTTCAATTGATAAATTACGTTTGATCGTTTGTTCCAGCGATCCTAATCAACATCGTCTTTGTTATGCGCAAATCGGTCTGTACCTTAAGTCTTGAATCAAGGCCTGATCTTGCATGGGGTAGGGGCCCGCCACAGCCTTCGATGTTGCACGAATGGGCAGGTCCGTCCGGTAAGCGCCACGACCTCACAGAAGACCGGCGTTAATTGGAAGTGCTATTTATGTTTCCGCGTTTCGTCTGGTGAGCGAGGTAGCCGGGGCCCACTTTGTTAAAAGGTAGCAACGCATCTGCAACCCTTCGAGTGTTACAAACGTCAATGGACGACGGTTATCAATTAAAATCATTTGAACCTCCAGCTCGTTTGTCACCTCCCATAATTAAAGACATCACGTGCTCAGCGTTGAAGGAAAACATCGTTAAGAACCCTGCATAATTTCGAAATAACAAAAAAATTTTTCGTGTCGTGGAAGTCACTCTAATCTCTCTAGAGGAGCCTCTTTGTGCGTGTGGGACAGATGTAGCCTACACTACTTTACTTTGCTTTACATTATGCATATTTAAATTACACCTAAAAGTGATGCTTGATAATTTGCCGCGTAATTTGTAGGAAATATTAATTTTAAAACTTCGATGAGCTCCCTACCAATGATTGCCCCAGCAGTCACGTTCGTCATTTCTACCTTTACACAATCGACCATAGATGTTTTTTTTTGTGATTTCCACTAACAGTGTTTTATTATTTCAATTTTAATCTTCTAAGCTTACCTTGCAAGTTTAAATACTCGCCGTTGAAAATTGAACATAAAATATGTTCTGAATTATATGATGATGTTACCTTGCAAGTCTAAAAACTCGCTCGTTGAAAATTTAACATAAAATGTGTGTTCATAAAAATATTACGTCTCCTTCTTTCCACTACCCCTATAAAGCTGACTTAAAGTGGGCCCCGTAGTTTCTTGATTGTATGTAGAAATGTACATTCGCTGGCATACAAAAGAAAGCCAACGCGTACTGTCTAAAAGTAACTCGCAATAATTTAGCGAAGTTTACGGGTCGTTTAAAACAGATGGCGCTCTGCCAGATGCGACGCTGAGACATGTCCGCGTCTCTCCACACTATTGTTCAAAATATATGGAGCAGGTAATAAAACCAGTTATGTTTACGAACGTAGTAAGCTTGACATCATCGTGACTCTTATCATCTCTATGTATGATTCTTGTGTCTCTTCACTCCTTGAGATTCCACGACGGGGATCGAGAAAATACTACCTTTGGCTTGGCTTAGAATCATCATAAATTCAGGCATTCCAGAGCCAACTGCATAACACTTCAATTTGACTATTTCCTTCAAAAATAAAAAATATACATAAAAAATTAAAAAAGTGCCTCTTTACGTTTGATGATTTTTTGTATTTACGTTTGCAAAACATTCAACAGATAATAATGAAATGTTGTTCCGGCAATTTCTGAGCTATTTAAGTATCATGTTCAACAATAATTAATCGTTATTAGCCGATAGTGATGTGTATTCTGAACTAGTCGCGGTGTCGATATTATTCAAAAATGCTCATCATGAGTTATATTATTTATCGTACAGGTAAACAATTATCTCTTATTAAAGAATTGATCGCTTTAATCAATTTAATAGATAACATACATTGTAAAATTTTACTTGTACTTTCAAATGACCCTGACCATTTAATATAAAATATTCTCTCGATATATTAGCACAACACTAAAGTACGTTATCTTGACGCACTAATTACAGTTCTACGCGACAATTAGCGTGCACTCACAGGCCGGAATTGCGTTCATACCGGAATTTACTATTTCAATTATACTTTATTAAAACATATATTACTGCCATGTCATTGTAATGATGGCGTTGACATAACGCGCTATGGGACAGCTGGAGACATGCGATGGAACAGTCTTTTAACAAAGTAACAATGTATAGTATAATTAAAACTTTGCATTAATTTTCTTAACTAATGTTATGTATGTAATTAAATTCCCCGAAATTACGTCTCATAACGAAATAAACAAAAACGTTCACGTCTTAAATATGTATATATAAAATGTTTTTTTTTTATATGAGATGGTGGCAAATGAGCTAGCGGTTCACCTGATGTTAAGTGACAACCACCGCCCATTGATATTTCCAACACCCGTTTCGTTGCAGATTCTTTGCCACCTTTTCATAAAGTGGGCCCCGGCTACCTCGATTCGTCAGACGAAACGCAGAAGGGTAATACCCACGGTCATACCCGCACGGACCTGCCCATTCGTGTAACAGCGAAGAATGTTGCGTGGCCGTACCTCAGTTGAATTTTTTATTTTTTATTTCGAACTGGCCAGCACTTGACTGCCATCCCACCTGATGGTAAGTGGCAATGGTAATTTACAGATTTCATCTAGTATGATATTATTTTAATTCCTTTAGAAAGGATCGAGAATCATCCTGTTATACGACGCTCTAACTGAGGACTATTTTAGCTCTTTTAGTACCGTATATAAAGATAAACGCAGTATATAACGCGAGAAAACTACACATTCAAGGCGTTTCCGCCGAGACGTTTTCATTGACCCCAAAGCGGGCAAACGATCGCAGCTAATATCGTTATCTATTAAGCGTGTGTGTGTGCGTATGTGTGTCTGTGTGTGTGCGAACGTGCCGTGACCTCACTTACTGGGACGGCATGTACGCGCGTACAGTGATTTTATAAATAGAACGCTGCGTACGCAGCATTAATGCAGCACAACAACTGCATTACACGCTAGGGCTGCACCGCGTGAGCGGAAGTTATCGATACGACACATCAAAGAAATTATCGATAACTTCCGCAAATCGATATCCTACCAAGTAGAATCATCCTAAAGCTTCGCGCTGGTCGACTGCAATACCGTTGCCTATAACTTTACGTTTCGTCTAATAATGGCGGTAGTCAGTGGATTTTGCGTGCCTCGGGATTTTGTGGATCACCCTCACCACTGACTATCGGGTTAATCGCTTGCTACTTAACTATCTCAAGAGCTGTTCTTCTGATAGTTTTTCGATATATAAAAGTAAATATAATTAGAAAACAAACAAAAATCCACGCCAGTTTCGCTTATATGAAATTCAAAATTTTTGAAAAAGGAATGTTTATTTTTTTATTGGATAAATTAAAAAAAAGAAATCGAAACCAAATCTGGACATTTTCCTGTTATACGCGTTTGGTACTCATACCGGCTCTTTATCAAAACAGTTCCTACATATGGCCGGATGTTGGTAATAAAACCAAAAATGGCAAATAACAACATTACTACTATTCTGCATACCAATGAACTACTGTCACGGCTGACGTATATTTTTGTCATTTTTGTCATTCGTCTAGGTCCTGATTTCTCCATTGGCTAAAAAAGGTTACGTAATATAAAATAAAAATCCATAGAAACACATCAAAATTTATGCTTAAAAATGAATGTTTCTTTCCCTTCCTCCTGCCCTTGCCAGTGATGTCGCCACAACGTGCGAATCATGTTGCTCGATTGTTTTACTCCTTGTGAAAGAATCAAAAAGTCAAATTGTTTCAAAATTTCGAGCTTTTCTTTTTAAACATGGCTCTTACTTTAGGATGACGTTATCTTGTAAGGACGTCTTAGCAACATAGGATTTCACGTGGAAAAACATCCATATGCGAAACAACTATCTGTGGGTCACAAAAATAGTAGTTCCACGTGGGAATCGAAGCCACGACCCCCGACACCGAAGCCAATACCTTGGCTACTGCGCCACGGAGTCATCGTTCCATATCGATATACCGACAAGTCGCATCACCATTCCCATTTCATTGTATGCATTGCAACTAATTCAAAACACTGCTATTGATATCTAATTATCATGAATGTTCTTAATAGCTTTTAAGAAATATCTAGAAAATCGATCGAACAGTCAAATAGTAAAATGTTATATGCTATTAGGGTTACCTCATTTGTTTAATATTACAATTAACCCAGATTTTGGATTATGTACACCCTTGTACTTATAACGAGCAACTTGTAGGAGCACAGTAAAACATGACGTTATGAAATTTGTTCTGTAGAAATGTAAAAAAGTAAGACCAAAAATACTAAAGTATCACCAAGTTTGAAACCGCCTTTCAAACTTGATAATACCTTACTATTTTTCGTCTTACTTAGTAAATAATTGCTAGCATACTGCTAGTTCCAACTATATCTACTCCTTATCCATATAGAATGTTAGCCAAGTCTCGAAAGACAATGATATTAATTAGGAAAACTTAATTAACGAATATTTTGGAGATGGATTTCTTCGCTATAAAATCATTATCCAATACCATAGAAAGCCTTTGATCAACACTCAAATATGCAATTGAATATAATTTTAATCACTTTAATGTTTAAATTGCATCTGATTTATTTATTTAATTTCATATTAAAATTATTTTTCCATTGGCACTAAATGTGGCGCAACATTCACCGAAGGGCGCTTTGTAAATGGCGTCTCAAATCGGAGCACAATGTCTGTTCCTAATTGGGTCGTACGGATATTCGGGCGACGCGATACCGGCATGCCAAAAGCACGCATGCGCCCCAACGTGACACAGGCGATACAATCTCATCGCCCTTATGCTACGAGCTTAAAGTCGAAAATGCCGATGGATGACTGAAGGCGTAATAAGGGACAAACCGCCTTGTTTACGTCTCGTTTACGGTCTTATAATGACACGTATAAAATGATGGGGATGAGAGGGGGCTGCACTCCACTCCTACGGCAACCGTATCAGGCTTACAATAATATATCAAGGAGAATGTAGCCCGCCAATCTATTCTGTCAGATATAATAGGCATGAGCGCAATCAACTTTGAAGGAATTTTCATAACACTTCTTCTGTCCAATGTATATTTCCCAACGCAACGAGTTGTATTTATTTTGGTAGACCAGTAAGCCTTTTAGTCTTTTTACGAGATAAAACAAAGTAGATAAGGTTGGAGGGGATGGGCGAACGCCTTATGGAAACTTGGCACAACAGAGCCGTGTATTTTTATATTGGCGATCAGTCTTTCATCTCTCTAGGATGTTTTTGTAAGCCTCATGTCTTCTGCGAGGCCGTACTTACTTGAACGAGCTACATGCCCTTACCAAGGAGATCGTAATTTAGTTTTTGTAGTGCGTGCACTAGCGACTTATTATTGTTCGTTTCTAATTATAAAAAGAGTCAACTTAGTTATTTACCATTTCCTACTCGATGGTCGTCCAGCTATTTCATGAGAAACAATGATTTAGAATTTAGATTATGATTTTTATATGTCCCTTCGGGTCTCAAAAGCAATTGTTGTTTCCTTAAATTATTTTTGCGATTTCTCTTAAAACAATGTTTTGTATACACTGCAGAGCACATTTATTTGGTTTCCGTTTATTTCATTTGCCAGATGAATCCAGCTGGCGCTATTTAGCACAGTTTGAACCTTTATAGGTAGGTAGTCGGCACCAATTCGTAAGTACAGCATCTTAATGTTGTCCCACTTCATATATTATCTAATATATAAAATTCTCGTGTCACGGTGTTTGTAATTGAACTCCTCCGAAACGGCTCCACCGATTTTTATGAAATTTTGTGTGCATATCGGCCAGAGTGGAGAATCGGACAACATCTATTTTTCATCCCCCTTTATGTTAAGGGTGGTCCACCCCAAACATTTATTTCTACCCTACAATTAATTTATATGGCAAAACAACGTTTGCCGGGTCAGCTAGTATTAATATATATTTATTTATAGATCTGATGTTTTTTTTTAAATTGCAACATAATTATGTACATTGGGTTGGCCGATAGAGGTTGCCAATCGCCACTAAATCCGACCTCTGTTATTCCTATCTAAGGTGTTTTCAATAAAACGTAGATAAATAAACACAATGCTTAATAGCGTACGTTTACTCAAGGCTGTCCACGTACATTAATAGACTGTATCCAATAACATCGATCAGTCAAGCGTTGACGCCGGCGCCACCTCATTTTTTCTATAGGTATCTATTTTATTTACCTGTCTAGATCTATTTTATTACTGCACCAGCTAACGTTGCTATGATATTCAGAGTGATGAATCCGAACAAAAATATTGCATAAGAGAATTTTAACAATTATCGGTCAGAATTTGGCTGAAATTAACAGGCTCTATATCCCTATCCAGTCATTCCTTTATTTCAAAAGATCCCGTTTCTAGTCTTATTCTGTATTAGACACTATTATAAGTGAAAATAAAGTGACTTTGAATTTGATTTGGCTTTGATGTTTTAATTGTTTGACCACTTTGGGTCATCGATAACAAAATCTTTAACATGTAGTAAATCTTCTTCAGTAAAGCTTCTTTATAAAAACTTTAATATATGTACTAACTACTATTTAATATATGTAAGTTTGATGAAGATTTATTATACATCTACAATCTTCATCAAAATTAGACTTATTTTGTTATGTTAACAAGCTATAATCCTATCGGTTAGCCCGCTCATTGCAGTAATGTTTGCTATGATTCACCTTTGTAACAGCATCAGCCCTCGCCTACCTTTTTTGGTATGGAGCGCGTCGGCGTGTCGATACGGGCGCCGAGATGTCGCGTGAGCAAGCGTTAAAGCATGTCTGAACACGATACATAAATCCACACCACATTGACGGTGGTAGGGCCACGCAGCAGCCTCGCCTGTTGCACGAATGGGCAGGCCCGTCCGGGTAAGTATCACGACCTCACAGAAGACCAGCGTAAAGTGGAAGTATTACAAATACCATCGCGTTTCGTCTGGTGAGTGAGGTGGCCGGAGCCCAATTTTTAAAAGGTTGTCAACGCATCTGTAACTCTCGGGTGTGGCAGATGTCCATGGGCGGCGGTATTCACTTAACATCAGGTGACCCGTCTGCTCGTTTGGCAACTTTGGCATAAAAAAAAAACCAGCTGTAGCTTCTTTTAACCCTAACTGGTGTTGGGGCTGGCAACACTTTATACCGGATTTGACGTTATCTACTCGAGCCAAGGGACACATGGTCGCATGGAGCAGCGGTCACTTGGATTTCGGCCGCGTTCCCGTACGGCGATATAACCACTAGTTCTGCTTGTTGTTATAATAGTTGTTAATATTCAAGTTAGCAGAACGCTAGAACTCTTATACTGGTTAGCCAGAATCTGCTTATTCTGTAGCTCTTCTTTGAACCTTAAGCTGGAAGCACGAGGTTTATCGAAAACCGAGCTTTAAACTAATGACAATATCTTGTATTTAAGCGAATGCTTCAAATGAAACTATACTGCAATGAAGTCGAACATGTGGACAGTTTTAGCAAAACTTAGTGACTTTTATTTAGAGTCAATGGTTATTTCAATAAATATTTAATAATATCGTATAAATGGTTGTACGCCAGCTGCAAGATGATTGCAGCGACTACCAACTTAGTTACCATTTTAGTTTGATTGTTACCAATTCGCTTAAACTAAAAACTGGTAATTAACACATTCCGTATCCTAACATTTTATATCCTGTACGTTGTGACATGATTTTATTTTGTGTTACTAATATTTAAAATTTGATTAGCGATTGAACTCTTTAATAATTTACTTTAGTTTTATCATAAATATCAGAAGTAATAAATAAGTATCGTCTGGTTGAAATTAGGCAAACAAGCTCGACTAATTAGGGTCCCTATATCTCTCCACAGTGTAACGACAGATACGTGCGTTAATTTAGGACACTTTCCTCATATGTGAATCAATACTCACACGTATAATATACAGCAAGCGATTGGCTTAACTTCACAAGGCTTAGTTGTTCGCTAACAATCTAATTGATCCATTCACTAATATGCCGTTACAACCGCGACAATAAATGAACACACGTCTAACGCTACTTGCCAATAATCATAAAAAAATATAAAACACAAAAAAAATATATTTTTCAAACAAAGTAATTAAATAAAAAAGAAACAAAATTTGTAACATCCTATACAACTAAAACTGACTGATTCATACATTAAGAGAATTTTTCATTCGTTTGCCACAGCGTCGCATTACAAGTCTCTCCTAACAGTATGTTTTATCTCTTTATAACCCATTCATATGCTTTGTAACCTTTACAAATGAACTTTATCTTACAGTTTTATAAGGAAGGGTGTTCTAAAAACGTTTGTTTTTTAAAATTTTATAACTTGGTAAATACTGATGTTTAAAGAATGTTAATGCTTAATACAATTTTAAAAAGTTATCTTCTATATTATGTCTGTTCATTTATTGTAGCGGTTGTAACGTTGTATATGCGAACGCCAAAGAATATAAACTCGAGCCCACGTTTATGGGATAAAGGGGTTCGACCTCCTGACCATCATATTGTGTTGGTCAATCATAAGCCATAGGAAAGGTGCATGATTCCTGGTGGACGTAGATACTTTATTGACTGTTAAATCTGGATTGAACCTGATGCCAGGGTGGGTTTTCTAGTACATAGTTGAAGTAAATAACTCAGGACTTGCACGTTTTTGCTATGGTAAGAATTTTAGGCTGGAACAACTATGGTTTATGTCAAAAGCGAAAGAATAATAAAATAAAACGAAATAATTGTAATGCGTAATATTTCCGCAAGCTTTATAGCCGGATAAATTTTGGTTATGCCTTATTATCTCGATGAAACTTAAAATACTTAATAGAACTTATAAAGGCTTTTTAAAAAAAAATAGTATTGTATTGACTTTATTTATGTGAGGTGTCAAGCTATTCGTATTATGCGGTTCACCGATTTTAAGTGATAACACCGTCCATTGAAATTGGCAACAGCGAAAACTATTGAATGGCTCTACCACATTTATATATAGTATAAAGGTAAAATGGTCGAAAATAATTAAATATATAAAATAAGTGTTAACGTCGGTTTGGTGGGTCTCTTGAACATTTTTTACAGAATTTGTGCTATTACAATCTGATTTATATCTATTACACCTTTATTTTATTGAATGAATAGTGTCCTTTTTAGTTGGTTTATTTTGCCGACACAATAAATTTACGAAAACAAACACAGAACTATCCACAATTTCCCCCCAAACTCAAATTCAAAGTTTGTTTGTTTCTAGTTTTTTAAAAAAACATTGCCCTTACTTTAGGATAATATTATGTGTTGTAGGGACGTTTTACAAACATAAATTTCACGCGGACAAACACCCAGATGCGAAACAACTACCTGTGGGTCACACAAATAGTTGTCCCGTGTGGGAATCGAACCCACGACGCCGAAGCCAATACCTTGGCAACTGTGCCACGGAGTCATCAAAGTTATCGTGAGTTTAGGGTAACTTTGAATATAATTTTTTTTCAGATGTAAAAACCATCATTATTCAAATATTTTAAGGTTTGGGTAAAATTATATGACGTATTTTCATTAAATAAAACCTTATCTCTAAAAATTACATCTAAACTAACGTTTAAATATGATATTGCCTTGAATGTTTATTTTTTTTACTTTTCGTAATTTCAAAACATTTTGCCGATCGTTTTACGCAGTTACGCTATTGAAATAAAAAATTCGTGTAATAAATTAATAAATCTTTTTCGCAA